AAAAAAAAAAAACATCACCAGAGAGCTCTCAAGAAACATTGCATTTAACCCAAACAAACACCATTTTTTCACCCCAAGAAAGAAAATAAATGTTTTGAGACAATGTCAAATGATGGATAATAACAAAATCCCATAAAAAGTGGTCTTATATAAGTTATAATTTGGCAATCATGCCAACAGCACTGGACTCCCTTGCTTCACAAGGACTGCACTCCCAATTACCTTCTACAGAGAGCTCGAAATTTTTACCCGTAACGACCACTTTCGACATGAATTTACCTATCGACAAATCGAAACGTTTAACCACTAAAAGAAATCACATAGCCCCTATGTGTTATTTCATCTTTCAGTAAGATGGGCCTTTAAAAAAAAAGATCAATGTGGAAATTTTCTTACCATCAGATGGCTTGACAAAATATCTGGGGAGCCTCCAGTTGTTCTTGTCACACAGATATTCCAAATACTGAGAAAGTACAGATTTTATGAAATAGACAATGAGATTCTTCATTAGAAAAAAAAAAAAAAAAAAAATAATTTGTTGTTCTTGTTTTTCCTTTTTTTTTTTTCTTTTTTGGCAGAACAGAAATAACACGAGGCTCTCAAGAACAAAAACTCACGTCGCATGAAGATACTCCGGGATGAAACATATTGCACTGACTATCGACAGGCCGATGACCCTTGTCTAAGATTTGGATTTCATTCTTCGGCAGTAAAGTGTTATTGTGGCTTAGGATAGAGTTGATGCACTGACGAGCCAAATCAGAGTCACCAACTGAATAATCGACAATACAGATTAACATTAAAACGTGCAACTTATATAAGTTCAGACAAAACTGCAAAAAAAATGTGGATAATCTAGGAAAGAGAACGTACCATCCCTTATTCGTTCCATACAATCTTCATGTAATGCGAACTCATCTTCCAAAGTGCAGATTTGAGACCACTGCCAAATACAGATAGAATTACGACACATGCATTTATTTTTTTCTTCTAAATAGTAATCAAGAGTATAATGAACTGAGACAAATGAGAGTATTACCAATGCTTGTCTTTTTCTAGCAAGAAGAGCCAATGCATTAAGCCTGTCGAGTGAATCCTTCTCGTTTTTCATTTCAATATAGTATGGCTCCTCAAGCTGAACTATCGGATTTTCAGTCACACCAACTAACCCATTTTGACTGGACGAGTTATTCACAATCATAGCTCCTTTCTCCGCAGTCTTCTTATCATCTCTGCATAGAGTGTCGTTTGGCTTCAAAGCCTTTTGTATCGCCACCTAATGGAGCAAGATTCTTTGAAGGACAGAACTAAAAATAATGTATAAAAATTAAAAAGAAAAAACCTACCTTAAAGTTGGTAGCTTCCGGACTATGTGCAACATTTTGCACGGATGGAGTATTCTCTCTACTCCGGTTATACACAATGGTTTTCGAATTTAGCTTCCTGCTCGAATTATCACTCTTAGGACAGGTCTTAGTAGATTCACTCATGGTAAGTGTCCCTTTTGAAGTACCGGATAATGAACCCTTGAGATACTCATAGTCATCTTCACTGAAAAAATCTGGATAAATAACTTTTTCCGCCTTCATTGAAACCTCATTCGATTTCTTGGGAAATTTCTCTAACGCCAATGTTTTTGGAGAATTCTCTTTAGTAGTTAAAGTCTTGTCATCTTCGAAATGAGGTAAAGCAACCTTTTTGGTTGAAGAAGTTGATTCTTTTTCGCCCGTTTTCGTGGTGCTTGGGGCGCTGTAGCCATTTAAACTCGGCAAACATAAATCCTTCCTGCAATATTTTTTGATACATCGTCCAATGGGAGAGTACATGTTCAAGCAACACAATCATTACGAAATGAGTGGTAAAGAACAGAAGCACAAGAAGAAAAAAAGCTCGTTTATTCAAACACCAGCTTTTGTTTCATATTCTGCAGAATTTAATTAAATCTAACAGAAGAGGAAGTTGGCTCAAATCTAACAAATGGCACATAAATCATGACAATATCAGTCTCCTCCTAAACAAAATATTAGATGGAATTACAGACAATTTTGTCAATATATTTATCAAAGCATATCCTCCTCAAAACAAGATTATAGAAATCAAATGGCGCCAAAACAAAGAAAACGAATCAAGAATGGGCAAAAAATAGGTTCATAGACAATATACCTTGAAAGCCAGCTCGCGATGAATTCCACATAAGGAACCATGTGATAATACTCGACAAATGCTGTAGACTCCCAACAATGACCATACTTTTTGGCCAAAGGGCCTCGCAAACTGACAAGTTCAAAATATTATGTTTTCAGAAGCCAACTAAACATACGCTATCTCTTTAAGCATACCATTCTCATGCGTACTTACAATTAACAATGTCGAAAGAGTATTGACATTATGAGTCTAACCTCTCGACCAGAAATTTAAGGGGGACTGTTTGGTTCGTGCTGAACGGCTTTTTATGCTGCATCATATAAAATTGTGTGGCCGACTTTTCTCCACTCAACGAGTACGTAACATGAGTCTCCAGAAGCACAAGATCAGCACGGTCAATCTCTGCCTCAATGTAACAAAACAACAGTCGATAAGTACTCAAGTCAATACATAATAACAAGATTCGATTTTTGAGATACACATCAAAGATATCAAAAAGAGAACTCATAAAGCATTTCGAGATACGACAGCTGATCTTCTGTAGCAAAAAACACTTGAAGCTGAGAATCAAAAGTGAATCAAACTACCTGATTTTTCTTTCACAGCATCAAACGCAATCTGCTGAAAATTCGCCTTCCGACTGACGAATTTCCTTTTCGTACCCACTTTTTCGTCCGCCGGAACTCCTTGGCTTAACTCATTGATCTCCTTTTCAACGAGTGACCAGACACCTTCAGTCACAGAACCAAACCAAAGCAAACAATTCTCTTTGTTCGGGTCAATCAACAACACCCCAACTTTCGTAATCGGCCATTTTTCTACAAGTGGAACATCTCTCGACGCATCTAAGCTTAAAGAGATGTTACACGCATCCTTCACCGATTTTTCAGTCAACGAGAGCTCATTCTCAGCTTCCACATTCAAAGGCCCCGACTCGCTTCGACTCGTTAAATTCATGAATGCCGCCAGAGATGGGCATAGTGACACGGCCAATTTACAGAATGCGACATGATCCAAGAATTCGAGCTCCGGTTTTTGCTTTCTGTGGTAGTAATTGTAAAGCAGAACAACCGCGTGCATCTGATTTTTTATGCAGAACAAAAACTATAAGCGCTAGTTACAAAATAACCATTGAAAAGAAGAGTTATGAAGTTGTTGACCTGTCTAGCAACAGAGGTATGAGCATCCATGGAAGGAGGGTCATCAGCTGAGGCCATCAAAGGCAACGTGGGATCAACCAAAGTCTGGATTAATGCCTGAATCACATCCTTTGTGGGACCCACCTCCCATTCAACGGCAGCCATTCTTGATTCAGCTTCTGAACCCGTAACCATAAAAAAAAAAAAAAAAAAAAATCTTTCGGTATGCAAATTATCACACAGTGACCAAGAATTTAAAAAAAAAAAAATCAAGAAAAGTAGAGAATCAAGAAACAGGGTAAAAAAAAAAACAAGACACGATTTTTATGACTTGGGAGAGAGAGAGAGAGAGAGAGAGAGAGAGAGAGAGAGAGAGTTAATAAGATGAGAAAAAACGGAGCATTGGTGAAGATGAAGAGTCCCAAAAGCAGGCGAACCCAAAAGACGCAATTGATTTTGTCATGACAGTGTGCTTTGTGTACTAATTTCTTGAAAAGTGCGCGCAGAGGTGTGGTTAGACAGTAGAGTAGACTGCATATAATTGTAAATAACAGTAAATTTCTTTTGGTTTTACTTTGAAAAGAACTTTGTTTTTACACAAAGAAAGATGGGTTATATTTCCAATGGGGTGCATCAGTCTTAATAAATAATGCAGCAACAAATCAGAAAGATACAAAATGGAGTAACGTCCATTTTGGGACTGCAGAGAACAAACAAAAGCACAGAGACTAAAAACAAAAAAAAAAAACAAAAGGGGTTCGAGCCTTGGGAATGCAGCAGTGTTAAAAACTCTTGAGGGAGAGCTTTGCCGCCCTTGTGGTCCCACCCGGCTCGATTCCAGATTAGTCGGTTCCCATGTGGATCCAAAAATCGGAAGATCCCTGTACCAAAAAAAAAAAAAAACAAAAAACAAAAAACAAAAGGGGTCTTTTTCTTGAACGCAATATCACCTTTTTCGATAATGTTGATTTTACTGGTAAGTATTTTTTGGAATTTGGTAATGGAAAGGTTTAAATCATGCCTTTCTTGAGTAATTTGGCCGAATATTATCTTTTGCCTAACACAATTTCATTGATAATACCATATTTATGATTATGCGAAAATTATATTCTCACGTTTGACCCTTAGTCAAAATTATGATTATGTGGTCCGGGTTGAGTTTATTTACATGTCAGCATGTATAGTAAATAAATGTTGTATGTATGTATGTGCGCGGTTCGGTTGAGTTGAGTCAGTATGTAGTTAATAACGTTAAATATATCTATGTACGCGATTTGGGTTGGTTTATTTATACGTTGACGTATGGAGTTAATACGTACAGGTTGTTCATATTTATGTGCGAGGTCAGGGGCGGAGTTACATCATAGGGTACCTGGGCTGTAGCCCAGGTAAGATTATTTGTACTCTATTTATATTAGGGAAATGTGCTACGTGATTTTAACTTAATGACAACTCTATCTTACCTATATTAATAATTGTGTCTCTATCTAAAACACCTTATTTATTTATATTAATGCATAAATCAGTTATCATATCCTTTCAACCAACATCCCCCTTTTTATGGGAGTGATTAGGAGAGATAAATTAAAATATGCTTATAATAATTCCTTAATTTGCACATTTTTACGTTTTTAATAGCGATAAATAAAAAACATATATTGTAATTCACGCAATTGTCTGATGGGTATGGTATATGTTGTGCTTATGTTACTATATATTCAGTGAGATTGGTTTCAATGCATCCGCTTATTTAAAGTGAGGACGTGAGACTCATTCCTAACCACTAGATTAGTACAAGATGTGTGACAAAGATTTAACTCTTCATTTAAATAATAATTCTTTGTTTTTATTATTTAATTTTTTATTTTTATTATTTTAATTATTTAAATATTATTTTGACAATTGACTGTTGACTTCTGGCGTTGACTGTTGACTTCTATTGTTGACTTTCGGTATTGACCGTTGACTTCCGGCGTTGACTGCTGACCTTGCAACTACAGACAACTAACCTTGCAACTAAAAAACAAATAACCTTGCAAAAACAGATAATTAAACTTACAACTACAAACAACTAACATTGCAACTGCAGACAACTAAACTTGCAACTACATTCAACTAAACTTGCAACAGCAAATAATTAACCTTGCAAGTAGATACAACTAACCCTGCAACTACAGACAACTAACCTTGCAACTACAGACAACTAACCTAGCAACTACAAACAACTAACTTTGCAACTACAGACAACTAACCTTGCAACTACTGAAAACTAACATTGCAACTAGACAGAACTAACCTTGCAACTAGACATAACTAACCTTGCAACTAGATAGAACTAACCTAGCAATACAGACAACTAACTTTGCAACAACAGACAACTAACCTTGCAACTACTGAAAACTAACATTGCAACTAGACAGAACTAACCTTGCAACTAGACATAACTAACCTTGCAACTAAATAGAACTAACCTTGCAACTGTTGGGATCTATGAGGATCTCGTTATGTAAAAATCACGAATTCAATAGCAAAACGTAAACCTATGCGCAGCGAATCTAAAGGTTTGCGTAGAGAACTTACGGCTTAAAATTTATGGCGATCTAGCTGATCTTCTGGATGACCGTACACAGCACACCAATGAAAAGTAGACTGCAAATCGCGTCCTAGGGTTGCACGAACAAGATCAGATCGAAAATTGGATCAAACGGGTGCAGAACGGATGAAAACAAGCTTGCAGTCCTGGGACACGTCGGTGGCGCGTGAGGGCGCGTGCGGCATCGGACGGCTGGGATCTCAGCGGCATTGGAAAGCTCTCATCGAGACGGTCGTCTGGGTATGCTGCACGTCTTGATCGGACTTTCGGTTAGTTCTGTACCGCAAAATATATCTCGTTTTACCTACATATCTTCTACTGTATGTCTCAAACACCTCTTAATCTTGTACCGGTGGAACAACAAGAAGAAGATAAAGTTCGAATGGGAACTGAGGGAGAGAGACGCGTGGGGCGCGGCGTGAATTATGATGTTCATGTGTTCTCTTCCCATGAGCTTAATGATGTATATATAGAGCTACAGTAGGGATCCTTAGGAGATTAGAAGATGGGCTCCTTAATTAATTAAAATACTTGTGGACCAAGCCACTTATTTTAATTAATTGAATAATATTAAATGGGCCACCAACATAATATTATTGCACTTCCTTTTCCTAGCCCAATTTACAATTGAGACTCCAATAATAATTACTCAATTTATCTCTCCATGTTTAAGATATAATGTAAATTAATTCGATTACTGACAATCAAGAATCAGTTAATTTATTATTGTTTCACCGAAGCTAGCACTCGTTCATCACATTATTACTATGCCGGAATTTAATCCACCTGCAGGGTTTAGCATAATAATCCTTCATGAACTCATTCCAGGGACATTATCAAACTAACGCATATGGTGACCGTAAATATCCTAACAGCACATCCTACATGCAACAATATTACTCAAGACAACAAGGCTATTGGCCCAGTTCACTAAGCCTCACCCATGTGAATCAAAGTAATAAGTACTACATATATATATGCATGTTTAATATCTTACGGGTTACGAATACGCAGTAATTAACCGAGGCCTAGTTCGTTTACAACGATCAGTATAAAACAAACTGCTCCTCTCCGAGATCTTGTTCAATACGTAAATGTAATAGTGCAACTAATCAGTCAAGACAAACTGTACGGTTGACACTACAACCGTTCACGATGGGGTGTTCATGTCCATCTGGGTTGTGAACCAATTATTCTTGTTTCGCGAGTAACTGACAGCATGATCTACGGTTCGCCCGATGACGACCCACACTCTCTAATGCAAAACAACAGAACGTAGAACTTGTTTAATCTAACATGTTTCTCACTCATAAAGGGTAAAAGTGTAATACCATCCAAAGCCAAGCTTTCAGTATATAATACTAACAATCTCCCACTTATACTTAAAGCTTTCGCTTTTACAAGTATAGTCATATCAATCCGTTATTCTAAAAGACCTATGTCGATCCTATCGCCATGCACTTGACTCCCATACCTGTCACATGTTTGACGAAGACCTTCTCCAGCAAACTCTTCGTGAAAGGATCAGCTAGGTTGTCCTCAGATGCAATCTCGGCAACATCAACGTCTCATCTACCAACTATCTCTCGGATCAGATGGTACTTGCGCTCTATGTGTTTACTTGCTCTGTGGGCTCGTGTTTCCCTTGAGTTTGCTACTGCTCCACTGTTATCACAGTACACGGTGATACCACGTGGCAAACTCGGAATCACCTCTAAGTCCACTAAGAAGTTTCTAAGCCAAACTGCCTCTTTCGCTGCCTCTGAGGCTGTTATGTACTCGGCTTCTCCATGGTGGAGTCTGCCACGCATTTCTGCTTAGCACTCCTCCATTAAAAGGCTCCACCTCCCAAGGTAAACACATAACCAGAGGTTGACTTACTCTCGTCCCTATCTGACTGGAAATCAGAATCACTGTAACCCAGAGATAACAAGATGTCTGCACGGTAAACTAACATATACTCCTTAGTCTTTCTCAAGTACTTGAGTATATGCTTCACCGCAGACCAATGTTCCCTACCCGGATTACTTTGATATCTTGCTACTAAGCCAACGACGTAGCTGATATCTGGCCTGGTACAAAGCATAGCATACATAAGAGTTCCTACTGCCGATGCATAAGGACCTGTCTTCATGTCCTCAATCTCTTTAGACGTCTTGGGAGACATCTCCTTAGAGAGAAGGATTCCTTTCCTGAAAGGCATGATACCTTTCTTGGAATCCTGCATGCTGAACCTAGCCAAGACAATATCTATGTATGAAGACTGGGATAAGCACAACATTCTCTTCTTACCATCTCGAACGACCCTAATACCAAGAATGTGTCCCGCTTCTCCTAAGTCCTTCAAATCAAACTGCTTAGACAACCACACTTTTACGTTTGACAACTCCTTCTTACTGTTTCCAATAAGAAGTATGTCATCCACGTACAACACAAGAAACACCACCACGCTCCCACTGATTTACTTGTACACGCAGTGCTCATCCAGACATTGAGTGAACCTGTACGACTGGATCACCTCATCGAACCGAATGTTCCAAGACCTGAAGCTTGATTCAATCCATAAATAGAC